AAATATTAAGTGTGGTATCACTAATCGTCACACATCTTCTGCCTGAATGTTTTCTTTTCAGCCTGTGCTCAGTCTGCATGTTTGTCAGATTGCAGTCTTAACTTTGGGGTGCTGAGGTCAAGTGGTATCTCGCGTGCTCTCAGGGCTCTGTTGAAAGTCTCCTAGCGTTCACAACAGATGAGTTTGGCCTATGGTATAGTTTTAGTGCCACCTCCAGCATATGGTATAGTTATAACTAGGTCAATGGAAGACCTTGCTGCCCTCTAGTTCCTCTGGGTTTTTTCAGCTATTTCAGCGACCACACCAATCCACAAAGAAATGAGTTTGAGAGAAAGCATGCACCACCATCACAGTGCAAAGAGATGAGGTGTTTTGCTCACAACCTGACAAAGACCAGAAGACATTGTAGCTAAATCAGCGAAGAAATACTGGCTAAAACCTCTCTGTATGTATTTGAAGGTTACTTGAATATCAGTAGCATAAGCTAGATCTTTGAGTGCAGAATCATTATTAAGACAACTGCATGATATATGTATTTGGGTTTTTTTCATGCATTTTCACTCAGGCAATAAGTTCATAGTATCAACATCATAATGTAAGAAGAAAGTTCAGTGCATGTATTTAAAGAATTTATTTTGAATACACAAATGCATGGCAACCCTGCAGTCACATGGACAACTCTATGGCTAAATGGGACTTGCTTTGCATGTGTAAGTACAATTCTGTTCCTGAATGTGCAACCAATAATTTACTCCTGCTTCACCTTGGAAGAATAGCTGAAGATTGTGTTGGGTATCTTTTAAGAACTGAAGCCAGGTGGCAAGCTGTTGCAGTTTCAGACAAAGCCAGTGTTATCTGGGTTTTAGTCTTCTTCCAGTAGATTGACAATGTAGTGAGCTACCAGTTACCCTTTTCAGGCCCTTTTCTATCAGTGCTCTTTGGTGGACGCTTTCTCTCTTTTCCAGCTGGGCTGTTTTATTGAATTGGTTCACTCACCAAACTTTTAACTGAAGCAGAGTTTGGAATAGTACCTAATCTATCCATGACAGCAGGATGAATTTAGTCAGAATGTGTAGTAAGCAAGGAGGGAGTGGAAAAGCGTTTGGGCTCAGTATTCTAGTATGGCAACATCCAAGAGCCATTTTTGATCTGGCTTTATATTTGCCAACCATTTGACAGCTTGTTTTCCTTTAATTTGAGTGCTTCATGTTGAAAAATGGAGAACATAAAGGAAGGAAAAGCAGAAAGGTTTCATGATCATATTTTTGCAAATACAGATCTTTGTATTTAATTCCAAATAGCCTGTAATTTCAAAAATCCATTATACTAAACCCCTTTTAATTCTCAGTTGAAATGAAAAGCTTATAGGGCAGAGGTTAAATAAACTATTTTGTTTATCTCATGAGTGATATATTTTAGTTGGTTTGACTTTTTAGAGGGGAAGAGAAAAAAAAAAACCCTCAGATATTTGCACAGCTTTACTGAAAATAAAATAGCAACAAGACCAAAAAAGTCTGTTAGTTCACATTAGTACTGCCAGATCAGCTACTCAACCTTGCCCCTGTAGTTGGCAAAAAGTACTTTCTAAATTAAAAAAATATGACTGAAAGACTACAAAAGTCTTTCTAACGCATCCGCTTGTTTTAAGGCACTTAGAATTTTGCATCATTCCTGAAAAATATTTGGCAAATCTTCTTAAAGCTTCCTGTGATGGAGAGTGACAATCTCCCCAGTCCTTAATTAACCTCAAAGAGAGAAAGTTTCTTCCAGTTTTTTGGCTGATTTTTTTTTGCTGCAATGCAAGCCAATTAGTTCTTATCCTGTCCACCGTAGACACAGTGAACAAACTGTTCCCTGCTTCTTGATGATAGCCTTGTAAAAGCTGTTATTATGCCCACTCTCAATTTTCTCTAATTTAGCCTGATCAGTTCCAGTTCTCTCAGTCTTTCTTTATGTTTTCTAGATCTCTGATCTCTTTTCTCTCTCAGGGCTTTTTCAAACAGTTCATTTCTTTCTTTGAAATCTAATGCCCAAAAGTGGATGCAGTATTCCAGCTAGAGCTTTGCCACTGCCAAGCAGAGTTGAAGGATTACTTCCTGCACTTTGCAGGCTGCTCTCCCGTACATGTTGCAGAATGGTGATGGCTTTTTTTTTTTTTTTTTTTTTGCAGTAGCACAACTGTGACTCTCGCTCAGGTTGTGATCTGCTCTATCTCCCAGGCTGTCATTTGGTGTTCCCCGTCCTGAACAGCTGATTATTTCTGCTTGAGTGTGGTTCCTTCTGCTTTTCTGTACAGCATTTCCAACTTCTTTTCTAAGCAGTACTCCAATTTCTCAAAATTATTTTAAGTTCTAGCAATGCCATCCTGTTGCATATTTGCAGACTTAGTTAATTTGGTTTCTGTTTTATTGTCTGAGTTCTTAATGAAAACATTGTATTTTGTAATAGACCTCCGCTCAGCAGGTCTTTTCACTTGTTCGAAGACTCATTAATTAATAACTACTTCTTGGTTATGGTCATTCAAACAGTTTTCACTCGCTTTATAATACTTTAATCTAAACCTTTCTTAAATTTGCTTATGAAATTGTTGTGTGAAATGGTGTCAAAAATCTTGCTAAAATCAAAATATATGACAACCAGTTGATTTTTGCTGTTGTGAATCCTTTCACCCTCCTTACAAGCAGAGTGACTTGTGGTTTGTTCTTGACAAATTCATGTTGACTGTTATTCAACTGCTTATCTTTCAGTGTTTTTTAATTCTTTTTTTATTCCATTTTTTTTTCCATGCATTGAATTTGGACTGACTGCTCTATAATAAAAGACATGCATCTACTAGCTGTCTGTCATACCATCTTTGAGAACTTCTCAGTGACAATGAGAAATAGTTCTGAGGTCACTTCATTCCCTTCTTGGTTGTCCTGGGGTGAAGTTCATAATACATACCTGAATTGAAAACTTATAATTTGTGGAAATGTTCTCTAGTTTGTTTCCCTGGTTTAGGCTGAGATTTTACTTCTTTGCAACTGAATTAGCCACGTAGTCTCAAATGACTCTTCTAATAAAAGTGTGCAAAAATGTATTAAACGCTTCAGCTTTCCTAGTCTTTGTCATAGAATCATAGAATCATTTAGGTTGGAAAAGACTTTTTTAAGATCGTTAAGTCCAACCAAGCATTAACCCAGCACTGCCAAATCCACCACTAAACCATGTCCCTAAGGACCACCTCTACACGTCTGTCAGTACCGTTACTTTTCTACTAAGTTGTGGACTAGCTCTTTCCATAGCCACAACAGAGTAGCCATATTGCAAACTCCTGCTGCTGAAGAAGTACATCAGGCTATTTCAGCTCTGCTCTTTCCAGCAGCCTCCATCACCAATAACATTGCAAACCTACTTTCCACTCCTTTGACGCGTTCCTGAAGTGGCCAGCTCGACTGTCCTGTTTAGCATGCAGGACTGTGGACAGCAGGAACGTAGAGACATCATGACCTTTAAAGACTGGAACATGTTGTGGTCTGGCTGCCCTGTAGAGAACATGCTTTGTGAAGAGCAGTTATGGTTATAGCTTTAGCTAGCTGCTGAGGTGCCCTGGACACTAAGTGCTGAAAAGGAACGGGTGTTTGGCTTAGTCGAGTTCTTGAGCTGCTTTTGTATCAAATTCAGCCCCAAATCACAGCATTTGTAGTCATAGTGGCAGTGCTGGTGATGTTGTATCAGGTGATCGGGAAGAAGGGAACATGTAGTAGTTCAAAGTAAATAAGGTTTTATTTTAAAGATGGGTAACTTGAGGCACAGAGAAACAAAGTATTATTTCCAGAATCTGATAGTAGGTTTTGTAATGTGAAATATCATCCAGGAGTCCTGACTGAAGCATGTGACTCTCACACCAGAATCCACTCCTCAGCTATTTAAATAAATCTCTTGGGGATAGGGGTGAGGAGGGGATAAGATATGTGCGAAAGGAAATGAGAATGTTATCTCCACTTTACTGTGTAATACTCGTTTAAGAATGGCTAGAGCTTTATGAATAATGAATGTATCTCAGCATTTCATGTCAGTGCAAAATGCTGTCTGAAGAACAGTTATTGTAAATGAGAACTGAGAGACTGCTATTGGAAAATTATTATAAACCTTAGGAAAGTGCTAATTTCAAAACCAAAACACGGATTTCATTTTGTAGTGTGACTTTCAATTAGGAAAAAAAAATATTTCATTTTAAAGTTCTCTTGAAAAAGTAACTAGAATAACTCTGATATCTTTTGTTTGTTTGTTTTTAATCCCTTGCAGCTCCCAGACAGCTGTATAATGGATTACTATGAAAAATACAAGCACAGAATGAATGAGCTTGAAGCATTTAATATGGTAAAAGTTATAGGATTAATACTATTACCTTGTATATATGTGCTAGTCTAGAACAAAGCCCTGTTAAGTTTTATGTGGAGGTGGACTGTCTTACACTGTGGTATGCAATCTCAAAAACAAAGCAGCTCCCCCTCCCAAACTTTGGAGCATATCCTATTCCAAAACTATATTAGGTGTCAGTAAAATAATAAAGCGAACACATGGAAGATTCTTTTTCAAGAGGGACTATTACCCTGGAAAATGAAATGTCAGTCTCCTTTTAAACCTAGACTGGTCTCCATGCAGTTATTTCATAAAAATTCTTTTTATTAAAATTCATTATTTCCCTCTTAAAAATTGTTCTGCTTCGTATAATATCATTTTCTTGTTGGACAATGTCTCAACACCAACTAAATAACATAGTTTCCTTACTTTATGGCATTCCATGTGGTTTTGATCTTTAATATAATCTGTTTTGAAGATGTCCATCCCACAGGAAAAATTGGCAAGGTGACATTTGTAAAACAGAACCACTAGAAAATGATTGACCTTCCTGGAATTGTTCTGTGGAAGTGTAGCTATTTGAAAGTGTATTGTCTCTCTTTCCCAAGACCACTGTAGTATCTAATCTTTCTTTCAGTTGAAGGTTGTTCTGGCTCCCTGCATAGAAGCTTTGATACTTCTGGATCGTCTTTGCTACCTCAAGGAGCAGGTATTTCTGCATTATATTTTATGATACCTAAAGGCTACATCAGCGAAACGAGACTATTTCAGCCAATTTATTACTATGCAGACCAAAAGTCTCTGTTGCAGAATTATTATTCTCATTATATTTGCAAAAGTATAAGCATTCATTCCATTTAGTATAAACATATGCCCAGCAGATGTTTTTATTTTCAGCAAAGCAGCAACAGTAAAGTTTATGTTCTTTTAATTGTATGGTAATTACTAGTCAATAGACAGTAAAAAATAAATTAATTAAATATGCAAAAAATCTCACTTTATACAACATACTGAGATATTTAATAATTAAAAAGAATATTGGAAATGCTAAACAAACATTGTGATATACATGCTAGAGCTTCCAATGAATATGTTTTAGAACATTTAATTCAAGAAATTTGAATTAAGTCCAAAGTATTTATGATTTCCTTTTACTGTTTCTTAATTAAGATCAATGATGAGAGAGGGTGCACTTTTTCCAACTGTATGGGTCAACTGAGGTACATTTGACTAACATACAGCCTGGATATATTTTACAAGTATAGACCTGGGATATAATAAGCAAATGCTACTACATTTACTCCATAATGATTTATATTACGGTGTTCCTTCTAACACTAATTTTGAGCTTGGCCTGATTAACTCAGAAGCAGCAGTCATACTTTCTCTGCACCAGTAAACATTATAATTTGCTAGGAGGAAATGGTAACATCTTCCAGCTTCTGCTCTGGGCCATGGTCAAAACAAAATTTTAAAGTAAAGTTTAAACCCATTCATGTGAATAGCTCTGGTTTTCCACCATAAACCCTTCATTTTAACAGCTCCATTTTATCCTAAGTAAAAATTCACTTTATTCTCTGCCACAGTGCACTTGGAACAACTGAGTTGTAGTAAATGCATGCTTTTCTTCTAACTGGTATTTTTACAGAGAGGCAGTTTGAAATATTTAAATAGTGATGTATTTTCCCAAATGCCAACCAGTTATAAATCACTTTGAAATCTGTATGATTTCCAATACGGGAGATCAGACTTGTTGCATTTAGCACTAATTTACCTTTTCTAAATGTAATATAGGCATTGATTTCATCTTGTACTGGTTGATTCAGAAAATGTGTTTAGAAAGAAAAAGTAGAAATGATAAAAGACATATGCAACAGATGAAGACTAGATCCAGCTGGCCTGATTCTTTTGAAAAGTCAGTTAATTAGCTTCAGTAGTAGAATGTGCTGCATAAAATGAGTAGGATTTGAGCCTTAATTTCTTTGCTCTAATTCAACCCAAAAAAAAAGCTTTATTGATGAAGTGGGTGGTAAGCTATCATTTGATAGTGCCAGAAATCATTTAAGGACTTTAAAATACATCCTGGTTTGGGTGTCCTTTTATTCACAACAAATTTTCCATTATTTTCTTTTTAGATAAGTGTCTTTCCTGCTTTGCATTAAGGATAATTTTTTTTTCAATTTATTATTTCAAAATGTGGACCTATTACCATATCTTAGCTTTTAAGTCAAACACATTTTTATGTACTTCAATTATCAATCGTTTTACAGGACAACATTGCCTGGTCTGGACTTGTGAAGTTATTTGATCCCGTGAAATCCCCCAGATGCTATGCAGTTATTGCTCTGAAGAAACAGTCATGTTTTTAAGTGGAATCAAATTGCAGATAAGTTGAAAACTCTGAACTGATACTGCTGTTTCTTCACTTTTATTCTGTTATTTTTAATTGACGACTCGTTGTACTTGTTTGCTTTTCAGCTGCAAAAGTGCAATGCCTCTTTGAATCATGAGAAATAAATATCTTCTTTATAAATACCATTGCTTTCTTGTGTCAGTTATTAAACAATGTTGAATGCCTGGCTTTTATAATAAAAGTTATGACCTGCATTATGTGATTATTATTTTAAAATAATTTTTGTGTTTCTTTTTTTTAAGGCATTATACGATGTATCAACACCCCATCTTTTGATATTTCTAATCACAAGATCATACCTTCTCAATTTTTACCAGTGGCTGGCATCAGCAGTCTCAGACTAGCCTTGCCTTTTTCTGGATTCAGATGGTGCATAGTATAAACAGGAAAATAACCTGCACTGTAAACAAGAGGTTCATAGACTAAATAGGATCTTTGTACTTCCCTGTTCTCCAGGTGATCAGGACCAGCCTACTTACCAAGCAACCTAGGAGAGCCTAGATGACAGTAACTACCTGCAAAGAACAGTTTTGTATTAACCCCTTCTTCCTTCAGGCATGTTCCTGGTATGCACTTGTTCGCCTGTCGCTCTTGAAAGAAAAAAATATGTGTGCTCTAATCCAGTGGGAGGTTTCCCAGTGCTTAAGAATCAGGTGCCCTGCTGGGGTTCACTCTGTAATCCTTAGATTGTGTCAGAAAGCTGTTATCTGGCCCAAATGTGTTGGGTATAAATACCTTGGTACCCAAGTGAATTGAAACTTGCCAGGCAGTTTCTCCTTGGCTGTATTCCATTCATGAGTGGGAAATTTAGTTGTTGGTGCATTTATCTCAACGGCTTGCCTAATTAAACTTGCAGATTTTCCATCAATTAAAAAAGGTAAAGGTTTTATTCTAAATCCTAGTGCTTTTATTAGAATTTTGCAGCATATAAAACATAATTAACTACCAGTGCACAAAAAAAAAGGACAACAAATAAATAATAAAATACAGTATTAAAGAAAAAAAGGGGAGAATGCAACTTTGGTAGGCGGAAGATAAGAATAATAGAAAATATTTTTATATTAATTGTATAGTGACAGTAATAGTCATGGGAATCAGACTGAGATTCACATGTGAGTAGGAACAAATCTTACTCCATTTCAATCTGCAAAATATAGTGAGAGCTGGTGAACATGGCCATTCAAGAGAAGAGAAGGTGTTTTTCTAACAAGTCACATCTTTCTTGATGTGTTCACTTGGAAGAAATACTTTTTTTTGATGGTGAAAGTTCACTGCTGCCTATTTTAGGACTCACGGCCCTTATTAGCTCCATGGATCCAGTATGAGCTTCTCACATTTCTTTGGTCGCACTACATTCAATCCTTAGAGCTGCTGAACACCTGCAATATCCAAGGGAATTAACAGAAGTTGCAGGTGCTCACAGCATCTTTGGAATAGAGCTAAGAAAAGAAAATGAGGCCTTCCATATATGCCACTTTTTGTTATATTGGGAGTACTGAGGAAAATAACAAGCTGGTAGATTCATTTCCCAGGAGAGGAATCAAAAGAAATAAAATCCTTTCTTAACCTCTAAGAATGTGTAAAGAAAAAAAAAAACAAACAGTAATATCTGATATAAAGAGGCAATCTAAAGTACATGATGTAAAAAGAAAAAAGTTGAACAAAAATCTTAGAAATGCAGGTTTTATTATATTATGTTCTGCTAAGACGTGATGACTAATTATTAGTGAAGTGTTAGACTGTTGTCATCCATCTTGTGTGCTGTTGGAAAAATTTACTTGGGGATGAAATTGCCTTTTCAGTGTTATGAATTGATTCTGCTTTTTCAGACCAAGTACTAAAATATATGATCTCCCAACAAAGAAAATGCAGTTTCTTACTGAAAGCAAGTGCTTCCAAGTACCCTGTTATGGCCCAAAAGTATTCATTTCAGCAAGTCCCACCTGGTTTAATTTGAACACAGTTGAAATTGCATGGGATGTACAGACTATTGCTAATTTTGTGTGATATTTTAATGTGTGTAATGCTATCTAAATTCAGAGTTAAATTCTTATTCCTATCTTAAGAGGACATTTGCAACAGTTTAGAATAACAAGCACATCTCTAGGATTAGCCCAAGTGCTTTTCCACTGATTCAAAAAGGTCTGAATAAATTTGCACGCCTCCCCCCCAGCGACTTCTCAGGCTTTTTCAGTACTTTTCATGCAATTTGTAGTCTATGCAGGCAAAGACAGAGGCGATGTGCTTCTTAGAATAGTAACTATCAAGAGGTTTATATGATGAGTTTGCATTCAGCGAAGTCAGTTGCTGTCTGCTCTCAAAGCTGTTTCGAAGCTTTGGATGCCTGAATACCTGTGAGCTATTGTTTATTTAACAGAAAAATTTCTGACAGTAATCAAGATGAATAAAATTATTTTCCTTCATGGTTATTGCCAGAAGGTCTTCCATAATGTAAACCGTATCTTAAATATGATGAAGTCTTTTGATAGAAAAGAATTTCCATTTTCTTTCAGTGTGACAGAGAACTATCCAACTTGATATGCTCCCTAAGGAACAGTGGATATACCTGCTTTCCCTCAGGTGTTTGTCTCATTCTGTACTGTTGCCTGATTGTATGCATTCTGTAGCAGATTTGGAGTGTTTTATTTATTTTTCTTAGGGCTGACACCTGTCCTTGGATGGAGGAACAAGAGTATATGCAGGGTATGTGTGCAACCTTAATATCCAAGAGTATGTGGTAGCCCTAAGATCTCTAAGCCTACTTTTGTGACAGTAAACTTTAATTCTGCAGCTCTGATTCATGCCTTAGAACATCACACCACAAAAAAAAAAAAAAAAAAAGTGCTGTTTTAGTTTCTGTGATTTTAGTTTCAAGTTTTTTTCTAATGAAATATTAGTGGGTTTTATTACAAATTATCTTCTTCGTTGACATTATTTGTTAATTTACCGTTAAAACAATGACTCTTTGCTTAGAGTTAAAATGCTTTTGCTATGTCATGATGGAGTTAAAATCCTGAGACTCAAAATCTGTATGTCCTGTGGTGGCATAAAATCTGCACAGGGGAAGCATGCTAAATGTATTTGGCTCAGTGGCAGCTCTATGTCTGTTTGATGGTCGGAGTATTCTTCCCCATCAGCACTTATTGGTTCAGATTTATTTTTTTTCCTAAAAACCATCCTAAATTTGTCATTATATTGCCAGAGATCACTGATACTAAGGGCAAGTGGGAAAACAGGACCAGCACCAAGAAAGTCTTCCTTGCTTATGTGTGAAATAGCCAGCTCAGTACTGTGCTTCAGACTTACTGTTCTCTGGGAGGTAGCTGAATACCCAGTCTTTGTTAGCATCTTTAAATCTCTTTATACCATGCCTCTGGTCATTCTTACTGATATGTGTCCTCCTTCTTGCTGATACATGTCCTTGTGCTCTGAAAGGAGAGGAATCCATGCTAGGCTATGAGCCTTGAAGAATTTTCAGTGTCTGTAATCAAATCAGAACTGAAGTATAGTTGCCTAGACATTTAAATTGGCCACCTAACCTTTAGAACTGTGACTTTAACTTCCTTAGTTTCTGAGATCCATTCAAATTTTGCAGTTTCCAAAATTCCCACATTTTCTGCCAGATGGGAACATAGCCTGATTCTCTGAGATCCGGCTGTAGTTGCCTCACCATGTGAAATAACCCACTCAGTTTGGTGGCTCTATATTCTGTATCTCCAGGCAACTGCTGAATAAGTTTGTTTCTTTGAATTTGCTTGTGCATGGTTGTTATCTTTGTCAATGTTGTGTTTCAGAGTACTCTAAGAAAAGGAGTAAAATCCTGCTGAGATTTAGGATCCCTCAGAGAAGTTGCACCACAGTTATGCTTCTCGTTGCTTTCTCGCTTAAAGCCTTGAAATTAATTCCTGATGATCAGACAGATTAATAAGCACCAGACAGCCTGAGAGGCATAGGTTATTAAAAAACACTGTGCACAATGTCTTCTCTTCAGGAGTCTTTTTCGATTCAAGAGCTCTGAGGCATTTTCTTCACAGAAGTTCCAGTACACATTATCATTAAACTCAAGAGTCCAAGGAAATCCACCAACGTAATGAAGATTTTCCTCAAACTGTTAGAGTACACTGTTGTACACCAATCTTCCCAGTATACACCTGCATGCTCCTCAAGGCTGTCTGCAATGTCTGTATCAAACCAGAGAGGAACAGACACTTGTCTCACCATCCCAGTGATGCTGTTCATGAAATCTGCAAGAGAATGACACCCTACTCTGCTTTGTGTTAAAGGGCAACAGAACTCTTGGAATGGGTATGTCCGACATTCAACGATTTCTCCAGATATTTTTATTGAAATCCATTTAACAGATTTCAGCCAGTTCAGTCTGTAAGTTACTTCAGTCAACACTGACTATTAATAGGTCTACAAACTGTTGTCCTGTGGTTTATGTTCCACAGATGGACCCTTCTCATAACAGAGTTTTGTTACTCATCAAAACACTAAATGACTTCAACTAATTGCTGTGAGTGGGAGATACTTCTAGATTTATTTATTCTTTGATTTCACAGTAATTTTAAGTTGTTTTATCCAAGTGGAATCCTAGTATATACCAACTGCGGATTCAAAGGAAATCAGAAAGTGGTTTCTAGATTACCAATGAAATTTAGAAGAAATTGAAATTGTACTGCATAAGTGTGTTTGTAGGTAGGAAAGCACAGTCAGTATATGTACAAGTTACACCATGAAGCACACTGTTGGCCATAATTTGTTAAACTCACAAATACAAAACACATAGGCAAGATCACATGGACATTTGCAGTTACCATAACATGTATTACTATTCTTTATAAACTGTAGGAAGAAATGTAATTATCTTATTCAATGGAAATACAGGAAAGCGTAAACTTTCAGCAAGTAAGCAGGAGACTCAGACTTTAAACTTGCCTAACAATCTAGGAACTA